GTGGGTCGTAGCCCGTCAATACGGGTGCCATTTAGCACAGTGACTTTCACACGTCGAACACTTTCAGCGACCGGCGAAGCACAGCTTTATGTTCGGCAACTCGCCGTCCAAATAGAGAATTTTGCAAAACACACACTGTATGGAGCCCTTCTGAACCTTCGTGTTATTCTATTCGCTGGGAAGCTATGAATGCTCAAGACGCATGACCGCTTTGTGGTGAGTTTGTCGTTTCCTTGACACTAGCCAACAGTTCAGTAGGACCCGCCTGCTGCACCCGTGTCTTGTCGTAACCATGTCTTCCCTGATAGATGTCATCCCTTGGAAACGGTGCTATCCTGTTCAAGCCTTGCCTTGGGACTCACGGCGGGTGCATCTGTATATGATGGGCCAAGCGGGCGCATTCTACGCGACCCCTGCGGTTGGGAAGCTCTTACCAGGCTCAGAGTAGTCTGATCGACAGGGGCAGAATGCAGCCACTCCAGCTTCTGATGTCAAGCAGCTCGGGTGACGTGTGGCTGCCACACGGCAAGTCGTCGATCAATTGTGGCCTGGCCCGAAGTGGGAGCCCCCAGGCAGGTGCCCACAGAAGTGGTGGGGCTGTCACACCATCTCAATTTTAGTCTCTATTGCGGCTGCCACACTGGAAGGAAACCCCAGCCAAGAGTCCACATTATTGGCAGGGTCGTCACACCCTCTCCACTCTAGTCCTCCACTGTGGCTGCCACACGACAAGGACACCCAGCCCGGTGTCCACAATATTGGCAGGGCCACCACACCCTCTTGTCTCTCGTCTCCATCGTGGTTGCCACACAGCAGTCACATCCAGGCAAAGTGCCCACCGCGATGGCAGGGCCACCACACCCTCTCATCTCTCGTCGTCTCTCACAATCCACGGTGGCTGCAGCTGCCCATGGACGGTGCCAGGGCTGTCCTAGCCGAGGGTCGCAGTGAGCTTAGACAGACATCTCTCGGGCCTAGCCGTCGGCCATGATCTACCGTGGCTGCCAGATAGCGAGGTTGCCGGTCATGGGTGGCCTGGCCCAGGGGGTTTCCTTACGCAACGGCCCAAGAGCACCGCCGAAGCCATCACCCCCCGTCGAATCTAGTCTCTTTCTCTCGTGGTAAACTGGAAGAACGCGGCCAGCGATGGCTGATCCAACCTCATCTCGATATCCTAGCGAGATCCCCTGGGAAACTCGCAGCGAGAATGATGGAGTGCTGTATCCGTACCTGCTGCGGACCAGGCATCGACCTAGAAATGACTACCCTATTCTTATCATTGTTCCGACGTGTATGCGTTCTACTCACCCCAGGCGAAGGTTACACTGTCAAATTACCTATCTAGTGCACTTTCGTCGCTCAAAGGCTATATGTATCTATCAGTAAAGGCATTATCCTTTGCTGCGCGTGAAGAAGATCCAATCCCAGTGTCACAACTGACGTTTATCCTCGCGTACTTACATTTGTTGCGTAATACCTCCTGCCCTTTCAGAAAGGCCAAACAACCCATGTGATTGGATGACAGGAAGTACAGCCAGCCGCTGCAAGAAGGTGAGACTGGTATCACGATGTCGCTCGATCACTGTGTGGCATAACACCTGATGGCACGGCCACTACGCGCCACATTCGTGGTTGGCAATCACCAAAGAAATGAGCGTCCCGGGCGGACACAACCCAGTAGTAACCAGCAGCCCACGGTATTTGTACTCCTCTTTGGTTGGGCGCCCTGATTGCTGGCAATGAAGCGACACGTGGATGATGACATGTCGGCTGCAGTAATAGCTGCTGCCTCGGCGTCAGCGATTTTGTTTTCTCGCTGGCGCGTGAGTTTATTCAACATTGAAGCATCTCATCAATTCGAACGAAGAGATGATCGATGAGAATCTTGTTCAGTGCATGGCCCAACGACTTTTGAGCGCTGTCTAAACGAGTCCGATTGCCACGTGACATTGGCTGTGATACCACTTATTGTAGATGTTTTGACACACCAGCTAATCTTTGCTATCCCTGGATAATATTGCATTAATGGACATATAGTGTACGCGCTCCAAGTCTAGAACGGCTAGCTGAACTCTACCATTGCGGTGCTGCCAGTCCGTGAACAGCTGGCGCAGGGGCTGCCTGCAATTCCGGCGTGATGGGCTGAACCTCGAGTTCGAAGTCGATCGTCTTCCCGGACTGTGCCTCCATCATACACGAAATGATTGACCCCTCGAACTTCTGCTTCATCGCGTCGAACTCGGCATCCTGCCCGTTCAGGACCCTGTGGCTGACTCGGACGGCCGGGCCCCAAAGCGTGAACTGGAAGCCGGAGAAGTCGGTGTCGAAACCCAACGGCATTTCCCGCATGAGGCGTACAAGCGTTATGTCTCGGAAACCACCCTGGGGTGTCCACTCCTCGTTCTTCTCGGGATGCTCGCGAGAGATTACGAACCGGTAAGTAAAGTGGACTGCTGGTGGCTCTTTCGGCGCACGGTGTGCATCAGGCGTGGTTTGAGACGACGTTTGGGCCTTCTCGGCCTCAACGACTCTGAATCTATGTTGAGCCTGTTTGGGAGAGTCAACAGTCTGAGAGAGATAGAAAATGATGATTGAATAAGGACTGACCAAGGGCTGTGATGATTCACGACTGCTAGGCAACGCATATGAATCAGTGGGCGGCTTGTTAGCAGCGGCGCCCGATGCGCTAATGGTAAAAGGCTGGGAAGCGAGATTGGCGGGCTTGACATCCTCTTCAGTCGGCCAAATAGCGCTGATGCGGATCGCCTCGTCGATGTTGCTGGGCTCGCCGGGCCTCGTGGCATGTGCCCCCGACTTTGGCTGCTTCGCGCGCTTGTACTTGGCGTTGCGATACTGTTGAAGGTTGAGCCGAAACAGGAGGAGCTTGAGATTCTGTTGGATGCTGGTGAGATATCAGCCTGGATTCGAGAATGCGCGAAAAGGCTTCAGGAACTTCGACCTACATGGATTTGTCCTTTGTGTATTGAAGAGAAGAGGAGAAGTACCGCTTGCTGGGATCATCGGGCCAGAATTTTACACCTTTGCCGTCCCGGTCAAGGTACGCGTCCACCATCTCACTGAGACCAAGGTGGTGATCACGGCTCTTCCACTGGTGCAAATCCCGCCCTTCTGTGCCCGCAGCGGTGCGAAACACCCGGCGAAAGCTGCGCAGGTCGTCAATGAAGTCATGGCAGTCGTACTGCGGTTTGTCGCCCATTGCGAAGTCCAGCTCATGACGCAGTTTGCTGATGGTAGGAATCTGCGCAATAGTGCTGGGAGAAGAAGTCATCGCTGGGCGAAAAGAGAAGAGCGTCGCGCGATTTTACCAGCTCAAAGGCGGCAGATTCGCTAGAAGGAAGAGCTGATATGTTAATGGGTACTGTAGGAGAAAAAATGAGGACCGAGTAAGAGGAAGCATGCGAAAGACCATGAAGAGCAAAGAGAACGGGGGCAGATTCCCATGAAGACACAGCCCGAATGTGGGCAGTCTGGCCACACCCCTGCTGATGTAGTATTGATTTTATGCCCTCCAAGTCCCACTTACCACCAGAGCTGAAAAATCAAGACGTGTACAATCCTTGCTTGGCGGCGTCCAGGGAACCGCCTTCAACAACAACGACACCTTACCATCGCTGTGCCGCAGAAAATGGCAGGGAGATGCGGCCACAGAGCACGGTCGCTGGGCTTGGAAGGAAGCGAAGTGCATCTCAGAAGTGGAAAAAAGGGAAGAAACAGCGTGCAATGAGGACAAAGAGAAAATGCTGCGCTCGCCTATAAATACCCCGGTATGCCTCGATCTTCCTCGTCGTACTCTTGTTTCCTTCTCTCCTCTTCTGCTCCCTCCCTCTCACTCTGTCTCTTTCTGGTTGCGCTCCCCCTATTCCCCCACGATAGCGAGACTACTGGTTTCACTAGCGTTGGCCACAAGGAGGCGTGTAGGATTCAGAAGGAAAATCCAGAGCTCGTTACTTGATAAGCAAAACAGCACGTAGCATCAACCCTCTATATAGCTGGAGTCTTACCTCGCATGCTATCGGAAGGCACAACGCATGTCCTCCTCCAAACTTCATTTGATATGCCACGAAACCTTCCTAACCCTCTCGAGGACATACTTGTCTCCGATTTACGAGGCTACCTGATCGTTGGCAGTCTCGATTGCTGTATGGAGTATGTGACGGCAAGACACCTGCTAACTTGGCGATTCTGCTCGATAATGAGGAATGATTTGCGCCTTCCTAGAACCGTGCTGAGTTCTGGCCCTTAGTGAGGCAGCAACTCATCATGATGGATTGTGTCTATAGTAGAAGCAAACAGTCCGCCTAGCCTTTCGCAGAGCTTCGACAGCCCTGAATACCACGGGCTACCCGTCTTATACCGTTCTTGCCGTAGTTGTACGCCTACTGCAGCCCGCCGTTCACCTAGAATGCGGGAAGACTAGCACGTAGCTCCTGCACGAAGTTCTGGAAAGCATCTTGGCGACGTGGCTCCTACACCCTCCCATCACGTTTCGTGGGGCACTCGAAGGTTCAAATTCGTTCTTTGCAAACGCATTGGTTTCTTTCATCATGGTGCCCTCCAAAAGTCGCCGCTCCTCCTGTATGT